AGTAGAGTATGATATAAACACATTATACAAAATTTTGACTGACCCACTGACCCTGTTTTCAATGGACATTGCTTGGACAATGCTATATTTTTTGGCTCGTACTGTCTAACATTTAATTATAAATTTTACATTATAACATAAAGTTCAAAACATGTTGAAGGTTTAGTAAATGTGTTGATAATATATTCATATTGTTTGAGGTAGATATTACATAATTTTTATTCTCAATGATTTATACATTATTTTCCTTGATATAGATCTATCAAAGGAAATTGATGGAATGACGAAGGAGTATATAGCAGGTGTGAAGACAATGTCACCAAGTAAACGCAATGACCTCTTGGAGAAAATTGATGATGCATTTTCGAAAAGTCGTGAATTTGGCGATGACAAAGTTCAGCTAGCAATGCAGACCTACGAAATGGTATTTCATTTGTTTCTCTTTTTCTTTTTAAAATATTTATAAGAACTTGATGGTGCACTCACTTACCTTCTAGTATGTGAACGTCGCGTTTAGTTTCGATTTAAAAAAAGAACAATATGACCACTAAGAGAAGAAAGGTTGCATGATTTTGAAAGTGGTTTCATAACATTTTTCATTACCTAAGAATATTTAGAAAACACTAAAATGAGATGAAACAGCAAATGTTAATTGGCATAGGAAAAATTTTTTTTAGCAGATATTGGGCCAAGATAGAACACTGCAGCGAATCAATTTTGAAGAATTAAATAATGTAGCATCTCCATCACAAAACCACTTCTCAATTTCATTAATAATTGGTACAATGTCATTCTGTCACAAATGTTGAAGTTGTACACTAAATAATTTCATTACCTATATTTCCTTATATTTATATTATTTTCTTTAAATACTTTTCGTTTTAAAGGTTGATAAGCATATTCGGAGGCTCGATTCGGACCTTGCGCGCTTTGAAATGGAGTTAAAAGAACGACAAATGGAACAAGCTCCCGATCACATTGATAGCTCTGCAGACAAGAATAGTAAGTTCTGTAGTGTATGGTAAGTTCGATAGTGTTTAGTGAGACATGGTGCATATTATACTTTTAAAATGGCTGTAGTGGGAAACTCTTCTATCGTGTCATGGTGTATAAGACTTAACTAAAGGATGGTCATTCTGTGTCAAATGCAGTTTAGGTATGGATCACCTCTCTCATTTGGCTGAAATTTATTTCAAACAATCAACTATGTATATATAATGAACACATGCAAAATAATAATTTTGTAATCTAAGCTGTTTCGGAACTATGGGCCTGGCCTATCAAAGTTGGGGTATTACAAGGCTTCAAAGGCATTTATCGTAATATGCATCTAACTCATAGGTGACTTTCAACACAATTGCTGCTTTCCACAAATAGAAAAAAAAATAATTTATACTTGTTTTGCTTTTACAGAGAAAGGGGGAAGAAAGAAGGAGAAGAAAAAGCTGAAGAAAGGGTCAATATCAGATGATGAAATTCCAAAAACATCAAAAAAGAGAACAAAGATGCATGTGTAAGCTACATCAAATCCAATTTCTCTGGAATTAATTAATTTTTTATGTTTAACTGTTTTGTATGCAAATGAATATACAGTACTATTCAGTTGCCGGATTTATCAATCTAGAAATCAGCTTAAGTTTATCAATATTGCTTAGCTTAAAAATTGCTTAAAATTAAAATGTCGATTGTACGCATTTTCTATTTAATACGATTTTTCAGCTAAGATGGTTTGATAAGTATGCCTAAGATATATTATTAGGGACATTTTAACTTTTTTGACTTGCTAAGCTGAGATTGATAAATCCTGGGCCTATTTCGTAAGTATAAAAAACCAACCCACTCCATTATGTTTTTTCAGAACATATCTTTGATATGTAAATCTCCTTTTTTTTTTTTTATAGATTTTCATTGAGTATCCAGTTACATTTTATTTTACTCTCTGTTGTACTTTCGAAATTTATTTTTTTTTCAAATGTTTTTTTCTACAGAGTTGAACCAGTAACACCGATTCTGACTCTTCCATCTGTAATCACTACCCCCTCCGATGTTCTTGACATGCCAGTAGATCCAAATGAACCAACATATTGTTTATGTCATCAAGTATCGTATGGAGAAATGATAGGATGTGATAATCCTGATGTAAGTTGCTGAATGTGTATATATTTTCATATGACTACATGAAATATT